ATTTTTGGAAAGCTTGTATGGAAGTTGAAATATGTTAAGGCTAGAGTATGTCTCTAGTACGAGAGATGAGAGTTCCTTCTACAACATATAGTGCGCACTATGTAGTTCCTTGCGAGCTAGTAACCCAAGATCACTTGTTTGGTCATTGAGACCATATGTCCTTTGTCTTTCTGCCATTAGATGATTTCGCATTCAATTCCTATTTGTAATTGTGGATTACTTTTAACTTGTGCTTGGATGCATGGTACTTTATTTCTTGCTTAGTATTCTTGGATTTGTATACTTGTACGCCTTATATATAAAAAATGCTTAGCATACTTGGATTTGTATACTTGTATGCCATGCATGTCAACATTGCTTAATATACTTAGAAATTTATACTTGAATTTACATGTTGCATTTTCATTTCAATATTGCTTAGTGTACTTAGTGTGTACCTTTGTATATTGATGATTTTCTTTCTAGATAACCTAGTATACTTATATCGTCTATACTTGTCTTAAGTGCATTTCAATCTTGATTGTATACTTGCGTACGTATACTTGTATATCGAATGACTTGTTGCGTGTACCACATGCTCCTATATTGTTTAAATTGCATGAATGATGTGGTTTATGCTAGGAATACTCTAGGTAGCTTAGGATGCTCCCTAAGCCTCACCTTTGACATAGACGCTAGGTGGCATGACCGTATTGAATGGATTTGTATCAACTTAATAAGTTTGTAAAACGCTAGGTCTTTGCATGCTCATCTCCTACAAGTAGCTTTATGTTACTTACCCACGTAGTGGGGACATTTTTCAGGTATAGGAATCAAGATTCAAGATTCACATTATACTTAGGATGATTTGTAGATTTGAAGTTCATGATTCATGCAAATGTTAGCATGGAATGATGTTTGTAGCTTTATATGTCAAAACTTGTATATTTGATTCAATATATGTAACGTGTATATAAGTACACCTTTTATGATGTATTTGACATGTATGAGATGTGGCTGGAGGCCAATGACATGTATCATGTATCCTATGTAACTTTTAACTTTATGAAATATTATGAAAATATTAAAAAATGCCAAGTAATTACTTCACCACGTTTGCATCGGGTGTTGGAATTCCACTTTTATTCTTTCATAGGGTCTCATTAATCATGTATGAACTGTGGCCAAGGGCCAAACAGTAATTTAAGATCATTTGTTAATTTTGGTTTTCAAAATTTTCATTTCTAGTTCATTTTAGCCATTTTTGGTCGTCGGGGGGTCATATTTTGCATTGGCGGTATTTTTAAGCCGTTGATCATTGTAGCACGTCCTAATAAGTAAGTTACGTCCGTGTGCATGATCATTTTCGAGAAAAACCCTTTCCTTAGTGATTTGAGCCTCCTATGGACTCATTTTAAAATTTTCTTGCATAATCCGGTTTAAGGGCATTTTGGGGTTTTCCTTCGGGAAATAAACTCCGGCCTTGATATGGTCACTTAGAAAATGTGATTTTAGGGGGGGTTTCTTCTTAATATTTTTCTAGAAAATGTCGTCCTGGTGCCGGAAGTCCCGTGTAAAGTTCAATTTTCTACTATGCTTGTAGCAGACTTTTTAACCCTCTTGCCATTTCTGATCTAGGGTCATTCTGGGTTTTTTACATTGTGTTTTTTTTTTTTTTTTTAATTTTTGTTTACGCTGCCGGGTAGAAAACATGATTTTCAAGGGAATTTTTTCTTTGTGCTTTTACAAAACAAATCGTTTTGATGCTGAAAACAACTCACAGATCTGGAAACCTGGTGCGTTTCAGGTTTTACCGGATAAAGTTCTAATCTAAGGGGCATTTCGGGTATTTTCTTTGAAAAGTAAAAACTGCTCTTGACATGGTCATGTAGAAAACATGATTTTGGGGGGGGGGGGGGGGGGGGGGGGGAGGGGTTTATTCAGAACTTTTTTTCCAAAAAATCTTGTTTAAGCTCTCAAACCCCCATTTGAATTCCAAAAATCTGTGCAGGCCCTACACATGTTGAAACCCAGAAAGTTAATTTTTTTTTTAAACTTTGATGCCTCATATCTTTTTTGTCCCGACTCCGAATCAAGTGATTTTTAAGTCTAAGTTCATTAACTTTGGCTAATCTATCCAATGGTATGCACGGTTGTATCCAATTCTATCTGAAAAGACCATTTTACGCCTTGCAAAGTACCCTTGCCACACTTATTTTAAACCCAAAAGTTGGTTTTTTTGAAACTTTGACGTTTCATATCTTCTTCATCTGGACTCCGAATCAAGTGATTCCTGAGTCTGGATTTATTAATTTTTCCTTGTCTATCTAATAGTATGCTTAGTTGCATCTAGTTTTGTCTTAAAAGACCATTTTACCTCTTGTAAAGTACCCTTGTTGCACTAATTTCAAACCCAAAAGTTTGATTTTATGAAACTCTCATCATCGGGACTCCGAATCAAGTGATTCTTGGGTCTAGCTTGATTAATTTTTGCTGTTTTTCTAGTGGTGTACTCGATGGCACCCGATTTTATATATTCAGAAATGACCATTTTGACCTTATGGCTAAATTTGTCCAGTTTTCTTTTAATTTGTTTCCGCTACTTGCTTTGAGTCCCGTGAGTTCATGGGAAGTCACAGATGTGTCTTAGGAATGATGTACATTCCCAAGGACATTACTTCCATGTGAAAAGATTATTTTACCCTTGGGGGCCTGTTCGGTCTTTTTCTGATCATTCGTTTCCGCATTGTTCTCGTTGAGATTCGTGGCCTCATAGAAGGTCACTCTGGCTTCTTGGAGATGTATTGTATCTTCAGGGTCTTGTTTTCTATTTTTACTTTCGCATTTGGATCCGTTATCTGGTCAATCTTCAGTTCATCACATAACGCACTGGCTTGAAAAACCAGGGTCATCATAGGTGGTATCAGAGTTCCTAGGTTCGAATACCTTGGACGATGGGTTTTGGGTGCATGTCATGCTTGTGTTGCCATGCTCTATGTGTTTAATTGCTTCTTGATAACATGTTTTGATTTGATAACATGTCTGTTTGCTTATGTGGCAACTTATTTAGAAGCTTACCTTAACCACCTTAGCATATAATAGATGCTTATTTATTATACCATGTTGTATATGCTTGTTTGCCTTAGCATACTGCATATGCTTGTAGGCTTTTGTACATTGTCCATGCTTATGTGTGTTATCATGTTATTTACGCTTGTCTGCCTAGCATGTTGTATATGCTTGTTTACTTTAGCGTGTCATATGTGTTTGTTCATCTTACCATGATTATATGCAGCATATTGTCATGCTTCATGTCTTTTTCCTACATACACCAACATGCCTTATGTGATTTTTATTACTTGTGTGAGTAGGTAGCCTGTTGCCATGCTGTATGCTAGCTGTTTACCTTTATGTCTTATTTTGACATGGTATGTTGTTTTAGCTTGGTTGGTAGAGAATAATGCCAGGGCATTGTCTCTTGGGGTCTGTCGTATCCCTTGGATGCATTCTTGTCTTGCTAAGTTTCTTCCTTGGGTAGGAGAAATTTATTCTGAAAGGAACCCACGATGGAAACCTTCTTGTTCTTCTTAACGATTTGGTTGTTTTGAGACCTTAGTCTGACGGTTGATGCGAGGGATCATGTGAGCGTAGAATCGCAGTCCTTGTCTGGAGGAGTGAGACGTGGGCCAGGGAGGCATTGTTTCATTTCCTTTTTTCTTCGTGGCTTCACGACGTGGTCGGGGGGTGTCCGGGGTGTTGGTTTCGTCTCTTGGGGTTTCGTGGTGACCTGGATGTAATGACATCATTGGGGTCTTGTTTCTATCGTCATGGGGTGATGAGTCGGGATTGACTCGAGTCCTTCCTTAGGGATTTGGGAAGTTACCATGTGAGCCTCAACAATGAGGTTCTCGTGTCTTGCCTTCTTAGGCAATGATTTTGGGATCTAGATAGGGGTGTTGACCTAGGATCCATCTGGTGTTGCCCAGATAGCTTTTACGAGCTATTGTTAGGGGTGTGCATGGTTTCATGTAATTAATTGCATTGGTGCAATTAATTACTCTCACTTGCCATTTAAGACTTGGGGTAGTGTTTTAGGGTTTCGTTAGAATCCTGTCTAGTTCTCATCGAACTCGTTGGCATCTTGAGTTGAGTTCTCTGTTGATGTCTCGTAATGGCTAGTGTTAGAACTATCCATTGCGTCGTTATTTCGTCTTGTGTGGCGTTGGGATTCCATCTTGGGTTTGAGCTAGTCTTAGGAAAGACTTGTAGACTCTTTGTTTCGGGAGCCTTAGCGTTCACTCAAGGAGATGATTCATTTCCTCAAGGTGAGAGATTGGAACTGTGACAACCCGAATTTTTTAGTGTTGAAATTATATTTATTTTATGATTTTTAGTTGTGTGAAACAGATTGTTTAATTTTAATTGGAGACTTACCAATTAGAGATTGGATTATGATATTTCAATTTATTTAATTTGAGTTTTTATTTGTTACATGGCAGCAAAATTGAAGAGGAAATAAAATGATTAAAGGATTTTGTTTTTTTGAAAACACATATATGATATATATGTATATTATGTAAACTGCTGGGAGTAAGGAGCAGGTACGAAAATTGGAAGCAAATATGGGTTTTGATTTTGTGATAGTGGGCAGGTCCCACTTGAGAGCGTTAATGGATTGAATTAGTGTTTTTGTTACATATTATATATATATATATATATATATATATATATATATGTAATGTTGGTGGATAACCAACTGGTAGCCGAGAGAGAAGAAGGAAAAAGAAATAAAAGAAAAAAAGAAAAGAAAGAAAGAAATGGAAGGAAAGTGGTGGCGGAGCTAGTGGAGATTTTATTTTGTCCCATTATATATGTGTATATATTTTTATGGTGAAGGAATAAAAGAAGGGGCCAGCCGACATGTGTAAGGAAAGAGAGAATTGGTGATGAATTGAGGTAATAATTTGAGGGACCCACTTGGATTGTTTGTTTAGCAAAAATAAAAGTTTTTGACTTGGTTTTTCCACGGCAGCTCTTGTAGGATGGAAATTGTGTATAGAAATTAATGAAGATAAGAGATAAGAAAGTGGGTGTCTGTCTACATGTCCTTTGATTTGATTTTTGTCGGTAGATATTTGTATTGGGTCGGTTGAAATGGTTTATTTATATGGGCATTTGTTTGGTGAAGAAGAGATAGAAAAATTGAGGAAAAACAATACAGAGAGAGTTTTTGAGGACAGAGATGCCGAGAGGGCCGAGATGGACAGACTATGAGAATTTTTGGTGCTTAGATTATCCATGACTTATTTTACAGTGTAGGGTTCTTTATATCTTGAATTGCCTGGGTGATTTTATCTTAAATATTTTGTTAATGTTGTTTTGTTAAATTGCATATATATATATATATATATATATATATTTGTTCAAAAATATATTTATATTTTGTGAACTAATTTTTATGAAACCTCTTTGAGATTCTTGTTATGGTTTTTCCTATTGGGACTTCCCCCGTCTCATACCCCTACAGTTTCAGGTACCGAGGATAAACTTGGATTGCAAGTTCTGGGATTAGGTGGAAGAGTAGGAGTTAAGGAATTAAATTATTTTATTTAGAGATTTTTATGTATTTATTTGAGGAAATTGATTTAGTATCAATTTAATTTATTTGGAGACATTGTATATTTTTAAATTGAGGAATTGATTCAGTATCAATAAAGAAGTATTTATTTTATTTTTGAGATCCTGGGTGTGTATTTAAGTATTTTGATTTAATGAAATTAAGGATTTTATTTAGAAAAAAATTCGAGGCGTTACAGAATGGTATCAGAGCCTGTACTCAGCCGGAAGTGCGAGTTTAGTGATGATTTTGTCGGGTGTGTGTGGGTGAGTGTTTAGTTCTGATTAGCTGTCGCTCGTAACCGGGTGTGTGTGTCTGGATGTCGTTCACTGGCAGCTACTAGGATGATTACTATCGGTGATTAGGGGCAGGTGCCCCTAGATCACTATCGGTTTTATTTTGTAGGCGGGTGACGGCATCGTCTAGGTACCACAACGGTTACAGAGTGTGTGGGCGGGTAAATAGCACTGTCAGCTACCACAATATTTTTCATGTCACTGAATTTTGCATGACGTGGGGTAAGGATTTTTGGATTTGATTTTACCACTTTTTATGTTTTCAGGTATACAAAAATTTTTGGATCTGAATTTGGGGACGAAATTCTTTTTAAGTGGTGGAGAATGTGACAACCCGAATTTTTTAGTGTTGAAATTACATTTATTTTATGATTTTTAGTTGTGTGAAACTGATTGTTTAATTTTAATTGGAGATTTACCAATTAGAGATTGGATTATGATATTTCAATTTATTTAATTTGAGTTTTTATCTGTTACATGGCAGCAAAATTGAAAAGGAAATAAAATGACTAAAGGATTTTGTTTTTTTGAAAACATATATATGATATATATGTATATTATGTAAACTGATAGGAGTAAGGAGCAGGTACGAAAATTGGAAGCAAATATGGGTTTTGAATTTGTGATGGTGGGCGGGTCCCACTTGAGAGCATTAATGGATTGAATTAGTGTTTTTGTTACATATTATATATATATATATATATATATATATATATATATATATAATATTGGTGGACAACCAACTGGTAGCTGAGAGAGAAGAAGGAAAAAGAAATAAAAGAAAAAAAGAAAAGAAAGAAAGAAATGGAAGGAATGTGGTGGCAGAGCTAGTGAAGATTTTAATTTGTTACATTATATATGTGTATATATTTTTATGGTGAAGGAATAAAATAAGGGGCCAGCCGACATGGGTAAGGAAAGAGAGAATTGGTGATGAATTGAGGTAATAATTCGTGGGACCCACTTGGATTGGTTGTTTGGCCAAAACAAAAGTCTTTGACTTGGTTTTTGCACGGCTGCTCTTGTAGGATAGAAATTGTGTATAGAAATTAATGAAGATAGGAGATAAGAAAGTGGGTGTCTATCTACATGTCCTTTGATTTGATTTTTGTCGGTAGATATTTTTATTGGGTCGGTTGAAATGGTCTACTTATATGGGCATTTGTTTAGTGAAGAAGAGATAGAAAAATTGAGGAAAAACAATACAGAGAGAGTTTTTGAGGACAGAGATGCCGAGAGGGCCGAGATGGACAGACTATGAAAATTTTTGGTGCTCAGATTATCTATGATTTATTTTACACTGTAGGGTTCTTTATACCTTGAAATGTCTGGGTGATTTTATCTCAAATATTTTGTTAATGCTGTTTTGTTAAATTGCATATATATATATATATATATATATTTTTTGTTCAAAAATATATTTATATTTTGTGAACTAATTTTTATGAAACCTTTTTGAGATTCTTGTTATGGTTTTTCCTACTGGGACATCCCCCGTCTAACCCCATTACAATTTCAGGTACTGAGGATAAACTTGGATTGCTAGTTTCGGGATTAGGTGGAAAAGTAGGAGTTAAGGAATTAAATTATTTTATTTAGAGATTTTTATGTATTTATTTGAGGAAATTGATTTAGTATCAATTTAATTTTTTTGGAGACATTGTATATTTTTAAATTGAGGAATTGATTCAGTATCAATAGAGAAGTATTTATTTTATTTTTGAGATCCTGGGTGTGAATTTAAGTATTTTGATTTAATGAAATTGAGGATTTTATTTAGAAAAAAATTCGGGACGTTATAGAATGGTATCATAGTCTGTACTCAGCCGGAAGTGTGAGTTTAGTGATGATGTTGTCGGGTGTGTGTGGGTTGAGTGTTTAGTTCTGACTAGCTGCCACTCGTAACTGGGTGTGTGTCTGGATGTCGTTCACTGGTAGCTACTAGGATGATTACTATCGGTGATTTGGGGCAGGTGTCCCTAGATCACTATCGGTTTTATTTTGTGGGCGGGTGACAGCATTGTCTTGTTACCACAACGGTTACAGAGTGTGTGGGCGGGTAAATAGCACTGTCAGCTACCACAATATTTTTCATGTCACTGAATTTTGCATCGCCTGGGGGAAGGATTTTTGGATTTGATTTTACCACTTTTGATGTTTTCAAGTATACAAAAATTTTTGGATCTGAATTTTGGGACGAAATTCTTTTTAAGTGGTGGAGAATGTGACAACCCGGATTTTTTAGTGTAGAAATTATATTTATTTTATGATTTTTAATTGTGTGAAACTGATTGTTTAATTTTAATTGGAGACTTACCAATTAGAGATTGGATTATGATATTTCAATTTATTTAATTTGAGTTTTTATTTGTTACATGCCAGCAAAATTGAAGAGGAAATAAAATGACTAAAGGATTTTGATTTTTTGAAAACATATATATGATATATATGTATATTATGTAAACTGATGGGAGTAACAAATATGGGTTTTGATTTTGTGATAGAGGGCGGGTCCCACTTGAGAGCATTAATGGATTGAATTAGTGTTTTTGTTACATATTATATATATATATATATATATATATGTAATGTTGGTGGACAACCAACTGGTAGCCGAGAGAGAAGAAGGAAAAAGAAATAAAAGAAAAAAAAAAGAAGAAGAAAGAAATGGAAGGAAAGTGGTGGCGGTGCTAGTGGAGATTTTAATTTGTTACATTATATATATGTATATATTTTTGTGGTGAAGGAATAAAAGAAGGGGCCAGCCAAAATGGGTAAGGAAAGAGAGAATTGATGATGAATTGAGGTAATAATTCGTGGTACCCACTTGGATTGTTCGTTTGGCCAAAACAAAAGTCTTTGACTTGGTTTTTGCACGGCTGCTCTTGTAGGAAAGAAATTGTGCATAGAAATTAATGAAGATAAGAGATAAGAAAGTGGGTGTCTGTCTACATGTCCTTTGATTTGATTTTTGTCGGTAGATATCTGTATTGGGTCGGTTGAAATGGTCTATTTATATGGTTATTTGTTTGGTGAAGAAGGGATAGAAAAATTGAGGAAAAACAATACAGAGAGAGTTTTTGAGGACAGAGATGCCGAGAGGGCCGAGATGGATAGACTATGAGAATTTTTGGTGCTCAGATTATCCATGATTTATTTTACAGTGTAGGGTTCTTTATACCTTGAATTGCTTGGGTGATTTTATCTCAAATATTTTGTTAATGCTGTTTTGTTAAATTGCATATATATATATATATATAATTTTTTTTTTTTTGTTGAAAAATATATTTATATTTTGTGAACTAATTTTTATGAAACCTCTTTGAGATTCTTGTTATGGTTTTTCCTACTAGGACTTTCCCCGTTTCACCCCCCTACTGTTTTAGGTACCGAGGATAAACTTGGATTGTTAGTGCGGGATTAGGTGAAAGAATAGGAGTTAAGGAATTAAATTATTTTATTTAGAGATTTTTATGTATTTATTTGAGGAAATTGATTTAGTATCAATTTAATTTATTTGGAGACATTGTATATTTTTAAATTGAGGAATTGATTCAGTATCAATAAAGAAGTATTTATTTTAGTTTTGAGATCCTAGGTGTGTATTTAAGTATTTTGATTTAATGAAATCGAGAATTTTATTTAGAAAAAAATTCGGGGCGCTACAGAATGGTATCAGAGCCTGTACTCAGCCGGAAGTGTGAGTTTAGTGATGATGTTGTCGGGTGTGTGTGGGTGAGTGTTTAGTTTTTGACTGTCCGCCGCTCGTAATCGGGTGTGTGTGTCCGGATGTCATTCACTGGCAGCTACTAGGATGATTACTATCGGTGATTAGGGGCAGGTGTCCTTAGATCACTATCGGTTTTATTTTGTGGGCGGGTGACGGCATCGTCTAGTTACCACAACGGTTAAGAAGTGTGTGGGCGGGTAAATAGCACTGTCAGCTACCACAATATTTTTCATGTCACTAAATTTTGCATCGCCTGGGGTAAGCATTTTTGGATTTGATTTTACCACTTTTGTTGTTTTCAGGTATACAAAAATTTTTGGATCTGAATTTTGGGTCGAAATTCTTTTTAAGTGGTGGAGAATGTGACAATCTGGTTTTTTTAGTGTTGAAATTATAGTTATTTTATGATTTTTAGTTGTGTGAAACTGATTGTTTAATTTCAATTGGAGACTTACCAATTAGAGATTGGATTATGATATTTCAATTTATTTAATTTGAGTTTTTATTTGTTACATGGCAGCAAAATTGAAGAGGAAATAAAATGATTAAAGGATTTTGTTTTTTTGAAAACATATATATGATATATATGTATATTGTGTAAACTGGTGGGAGTAAGGAGCAGGTACGAAAATTGGAAGCAAATATGGGTTTTGATTTTGTGATGGTGGGCGGGTCCCACTTGAGAGCATTAATGGATTGAATTAGTGTTTTTGTTACATATACATATACATATATATATATATGTAATGTTGGTCGACAACCAACTGGTAGCCTAAAGAGAAGAAGGTAAAAGAAATAAAGAAAAAAAGAAAAGAAAGAAAGAAATGGAAGGAGAGTGGTGGCGGACCTAGTGGAGATTTTAATTTGTTGCATTATATCTGTGTATATATTTTTATGGTGAAGGAATAAAAGAAGGGGCCAGCCGACATGGGTAAGGAAAGAGAGAATTGGTGATGAATTGAGGTAATAATTCGAGGGGCCCACCTGGATTGTTTGTTTGGCCAAAACAAAAGTCTTTGACTTGGTTTTTGCACGGCTGCTCTTGTGGGATAGAAATTGTGTGTAGAAATTAATGAAAATAAGAGATAAGAAGGTGGGTGTCTGTCTACATGTCCTTTGATTTGATTTTCGTCGGTAGATATTTGTATTGGGTCGGTTGAAATGGTCTATTTATATGGGCATTTGTTTGGTGAAGAAGAGATAGAAAAATTGTGGAAAAACAATACAGAGGGAGTTTTTGAGGACAGAGATGCCGAGAGGGCCGAGATGGACAGACTATGAGAATTTTTGGTGCTTAGAATATCCAGGATTTATTTTACAGTGTAGGGTTCTTTATACCTTGAATTGTCTGGGTGATTTTATCTCAAATATTTTGTTAATGCTGTTTTGTTAAATTGCATATATATATATATATATATATATATATATATATATTTTATTCAAAAATAGGTTTATATTTTGTGAACTAATTTTTATGAAACCTCTTTAAGATTCTTGTTATGGTTTTTCCTACTGGGATTTCCCCCGCCTCGCCCCCCTACAATTTCAGGTACCGAGGATAAACTTGGATTGCTAGTTGCGGGATTAGTTGGAAGTGTAGGAGTTAAGGAATTAAATTATTTTATTTATAGATTTTTATGTATTTATTTGAGGAAATTGATTTAGTATCAATTTAATTTATTTGGAGACATTGTACATTTTTAAATTAAGGAATTGATTCAGTATCAATAAAGAAGTATTTATTTTATTTTTGAGATCCTGGGTGTGTACTTAAGTATTTTGATTTAATGAAATCGAGGATTTTATTTAGAAAAAAATTTGGGCCGCTACAGAATGGTATCAGAGCCTGTACTCAGCTGGAAGTGTTTAGTGATGATGTTGTCGGGTGAGTGTTTAGTTCTGACTAGCTGCCGCTCGTAACCGGGTGTGTGTGTCCGGATGTCGTTCACTGGCAGCTACTAGGATGATTACTATCGGTGATTAGGGGAAGGTGTCCCTAGATCACTATCGGTTTTATTTTGTGGGTGGGTGATGGCATCGTCTAGTTACCACAACGGTTACGGAGTGTGTGGGCGAGTAAATAGCACTGTCAGCTACCACAATATTTTTCATGTCACAGAATTTTGCATCGCTTGGGGTAAGGATTTTTGGATATGATTTTACCACTTTTGATGTTTTCAGGTATACAAAAATTTTTGGATCTGAATTTTGGGACGAAATTTTTTTTAAGTGGTGGAGGATGTGACAACCCGAATTTTTTAGTGTTGAAATTATATTTATTTTAATATTTTTAGTTGTGTGAAACTGATTGTTTAATCTTAATTGGAGACTTACCAATTATAGATTGGATTATGATATTTCAATTTATTTAATTTGAGTTTTTATTTGTTACATGGCAGCAAAATTGAAGAGGAAATAAAATGATTAAAGGATTTTGTTTTTTTGAAAACATATATATGATATATATGTATATTATGTAAACTGCTGGGAGTAAGGAGCAGGTACGAAAATTGGAAGCAAATATGGGTTTTGATTTTGTGATAGTGGGCAGGTCCCACTTGAGAGCATTAATGGATTGAATTTGTGTTTTTGTTACATATTATATATATATATATATATATATATATATATATGTAATGTTAGTGGACAACCAAGTGGTAGCCGAGAGAGAAGAAGGAAAAAGAAATAAAAGAAAAAAAGAAAAGAAAGAAAGAAATGGAAGGAAAGTGGTGGCGGACCTAGTGGAGATTTTAATTTGTTACATTATATATGTGTATATATTTTTATGGTGAAGGAATAAAAGAATGGGCCAGCCGACATGGGTAAGGAAACAGAGAATTGGTGATGAATTGAGGTAATAATTCGTGGGACCCACTTGGATTGTTTGTTTGGCCAAAACAAAAGTTTGACTTGGTTTTTGCACGGCTGCTCTTGTAGGATAGAAATTGTGTATAGAAATTAATGAAGATAAGAGATAAGAAAGTGGGTGTCTGTCTACATGTCCTTTGATTTGATTTTTTTCGGTAGATATTTGTATTGGGTCGGTTGAAATAGTCTATTTATATGGGCATTTGTTTGGTGAAGAAGGGATAGAAAAATTGATGAAAAACAATATAGAGAGAGTTGTTGAGGACAGAGATGCCAAGAGTGCCGAGATGGACAGACTATGAGAATTTTTGGTGCTCAGATTATCCATGATTTATTTTATAGTGTATGGTTCTTTATACCTTGAATTGTTTGGGTGATTTTATCTCAAATATTTTGTTAATGCTGTGTTGTTAAATTTCATATATATATATATATATATATTTTGTTCAAAAATATATTTATATTTTGTGAACTAATATTTATGAAACCTCTTTGAGATTCTTGTTTTGGTTTTTCCTACTGGGACTTCCCCGTCTCACACCCCTACAGTTTTAGGTACCGAGGATAAACTTGAATTGCTAGTTGTGGGATTAGGTGGAAGAGTAGGAGTTAAGGAATTAAATTATTTTATATAGAGATTTTTATGTATTTATTTGAGGAAATTGATTTAGTATCAATTTAATTTATTTGGAGACATTGTAGATTTTTAAATTGAGGAATTGATTCAGTATCAATAAAGAAGTCTTTATTTTATTTTTGAGATCCTGGGTGTGTATTTAAGTATTTTGATTTAATGAAATCGAGGATTTTATTTAGAAAAAAATTCGGGGCGTTACAGAATGGTATCAGAGCCTGTACTCAGCCAGAAGTGTGAGTTTAGTGATGATGTTGTCGGGTGTGTGTGGGTGAGTGTTTAGTTCTGACTAGCTGACGCTCCTAACCGGGTGTGTGTGTCCGGATGTCGTTCACTGGCAGCTACTAGGATGATTACTATCGGTGATTAGGGGCAGGTGTCCCTAGATCACTATCGGTTTTATTTTGTGGGCGGGTGACGACATCGTCTAGTTACCACAACGGTTACGGAGTGTGTGGGCAGGTAAATAGCACTGTTAGCTACCACAATATTTTTCATGTCACTGAATTTTGCATCGCCTGGGGTAAGGATTTTTGGTTTTGATTTTACGACTTTTGATGTTTTCAGGTATACAAATATTTTTGGATCTGAATTTTGGGACGAAATTTTTTTTAAGTGGTAGAGAATGTGACAACCCGGATTTTTTAGTGTTGAAATTATATTTATTTTATGATTTTTAGTTGTGTGAAACTTGATTGTTTAATTTTAATTGGAGACTTACCAATTAGAGATTGGATTATGATATTTCAATTTATTTAATTTGAGTTTTTATTTATTATATGGCAGCAAAATTGAAGAGGAAATAAAATAATTAAAGGATTTTGTTTTTTTGAAAACATATATATGATATATATGTATATTATGTAAACTGATGGGAGTAAGGAGCAGGTACGAAAATTGGAAGCAAATATGGGTTTTGATTTTGTGATAGTGGGCGGGTCCCACTTGAGAGCATTAATGGATTGAATTAGTGTTTTTGTTACATATTATATATATATATATATTTATATATACATATATATGTAATGTTGGTGGACAACCAACTGGTAGCCGAGAGAGAAGAAGGAAAAAGAAATAAAAGAAAAAAAGAAAAGAAAGAAAGAAATGAAAGGAAAGTGGTGGCGGAGCTAGTGGAGATTTTAATTTGTTACATTATATATTTGTATATATTTTTATGGTGAAGGAATTAAAGAAGGGGCCAGCCGACATGGGTAAGGAAAGAGAGAATTGGTGATGAATTTAGGTAATAATTCGTGGGACCCACTTGGATTGTTTGTTTGGCCGAAAGAAAAGTCTTTGACTTGGTTTTTGCACGGCTGCTCTTGTAGGATAGAAATTGTGTATAGAAATTAATGAAGATAAGAGATAAGAAAGTGGGTGTCTGTCTACATGTCCTTTGATTTGATTTTTGTCGGTAGATATTTGTATTGGGTCGGTTGAAATGGTTTATTTATATGGGCATTTGTTTGGTGAAGAAGAGATAGAAAAATTGAGGAAAAACAATATAGAGAGAGTTTTTGAGGACAGAGATGCAGAGAGGGCCGAGATGGACAGATTGTGAGAATTTTTGGTGCTCAGATTATCTATGATTTATTTTACAGTGTAGGGTTCTTTATACCTTGAATTGCCTGGGTGATTTTATCTTAAATATTTTGTTAATGCTGTTTTGTTAAATTACACACACACACACACATATATATATATATATATTTTTTGTTCAAAAATATATTTATATTTTGTGAACTAATTTTAATGAAACCTCTTTGAGATTCTTGTTATGGTTTTTCTTACTGGGACTTCTCCCGTCTTACCCCCCTACAGTTTCAGGTACTGAGGATAAGCTTGGATTGCTAGTTGCGGGATTAGGTGGAAGAGTAGGAGTTGAGGAATTAAATTATGTTATTTAGAGATTTTTATGTATTTATTTGAGGAAATTGATTCAGTATCAATTTAATTTATTTGGAGACATTGTATATTTTTAAATTGAGGAATTGATTTAGTATCAATAAAGAAGTATTTATTTTATTTTTGAGATCCTGGGTGTGTATTTAAGTATTTTGATTTAATGAAATCGAGGATTTTATTTCGAAAAAAATTCGGGGCGTTACAGGAACCATCCGGGTTTTTGGGATTCACTTTCAGTGAGTTCATCCTTTTGAGAGGCATTTCAACCCTTCTTACTTTTGACTTGTGGGATTGTTATTTGCATAGTCCCTTTTGCATGTTTATGTGCCTTAGCATGCTGTACAAATAAGTTTAGGATACGTGACTATCTGGTAGTTATGTGATGATATAGATGATGTATTTTCTATTTATTATATCTGTTTAGCATGCATAGATGATGTGTAGCGTGTCCTTAATGCTTAATCCCTATTTGATAGGTAGCATATTTGATTGCCCTGGCATACTATGTGTTTAGTTGTATGGTGCGATCTGGCTTTTATGATTTGATTTTATGAGTCGTGACATGGTTACCTTATATATGTATGTCTTATGAGTGATTATTTGGTTTAGTTCATGCTTTTATCTTTCCTTTACTGTGCCTGGGGTTGTGTGACCTTGGTTGTCGGGAGTGTGTGTGTGTGCTTGATCCGGTGTCTTGATTCCTAGGCGTAGCCTTGCAGCAGGTCAGCTTTAGGATGATGTGGAGGATTTTGGGTTATTTTCCTTGTTGGGAGTCATTGTGACTAAGTCGATGGTGATGTTGTTTAATTTCATAAAGTCCGATCCATTGGCTTGAAGGCACAGACTTGTCAGGCTTTGGATTCTTGACTGGTGTTGTTAACAACGGTGTTTTGAGACTTGGGGTTGTCAGTTTTCTGGTATTGAGGATTTGAGTCCTTAACCATAGCGATACCCTATGGCATTATTGTCAAAGTTTTGGGATTGGCCAGGATAGTCCGGCTGGACATCTTGGACTATATCTCAACTCTCACAAAATGCATGGTTTCCGTGGTGCTTTCGGTAATGATCGTTTTGACATTGATGTCATTTGTATCAGTAGGTTTCACGGGTAAGCTTGTTTGGGGCAGGTGATGAATTAGGGCTTTATATTGTCATGCTACCATACAAGTTATGTGTGGTGGGTGAGTGCTAGTTACCGTCGATGCTACCTTGTATTACCTAGCTAGTAATGTAAGTGTGGGTGGGCATTAGATGTTGTCGATGCTACCGCACCTTGAGCACGTTGTGGGTGGGTTATAGTCGCTATTCGTGCTATCATATTGCTTTTGGTCGTGTTCCTTGTTTTGACGTGTTGTTGTCTTGGTTTCCTTTGGGAGGTTGACGTTGGGTTGTATGTCAATTCGTTTGATGAGGTGTTATCTTTCGGTTCGTGGTTTCGCATTCCTTCAGTTGGACCTTGGGGCTTCTGGAGTTGTCCTTTAGTGCCTTATGATCCTTTCCTTGGTGTGACCTTGTGTTCGGTCATTGTTTAGTTCTTTCAGTGATGGTCCTATTTTCAAGGACGAAATTTCCATAAGGAGGGTAGGTTGTAATGACCCGGTCATTTTCCTTCCTTTCATTTTTCTCAGATTTTTATGGATAAATATTTTCATTGATTTTTCTTTTCTGAGTACGGTTACTCATCACTTAGTGTCGTCTCGAGCCCTCGGAAATGGTTTCCGAGACTCTTTCCCTTGGATTGACAACTTCCTTAAAGGGCCGCGTCATTTCCATATTTTTCGTTTATTCGTCACTTTGTTGGCATAACCTCACTTTAGTGTTCAGAGTTGAGTTTTGACTTCATGTACCTTCATCTTAAGTGGTTTCCACAAAATACGTAACTTTACTTTTGTAGGAAAGTACTCTGGTTGCTCCTGGTGTCCATAGGGGTATGGATGCAAAGTTCTTCAAAAATATTTTTGTTTCTTGGGGTGTTTTTCATAAATATCTTTTGGAGATATTTAAATTTAGAGGTTTTTAAGAAAATATCTTTCGGAAGATATTTTCATTTTGGGCAGTTTTGTAGTTATCCCTTTTTGTAGGGGCCATTATGCAATTAATGAAAGTTATTACAAAATATCTCGTTTTGAGCCTAGATCCTCGTACAGGATTCATTTTCATATTTTGTCGAGTCTTGTACTCTTACAATTGTCTTGCGTTCGAACCTTACAGTTTTTGGGTTTTCCTCGTTAGTGCCAAACTTGTTTAGGGCATATCCCTCTGCTCGAGACTCAGTTTTTGACGTCGTTTCTTACGTTGTTCATATTTTCTCATATCAGTTCTTTTTCATTTATAGAGTTTTGTTATTTGAGTGCGTCTGCTTAAATTCCACTTTTTTGAAACCTACGGGGCCCTTTCGGGGCACTTTTAGGGTTTTACTATAAATAGGGAGTTAGAAAATTAAATCAACTAATTTTCTCTTCTTCTCCCACGTTTTAGACCAGCCATGGCAGCCCAAGGGACTGCCACCTTCTTTTCTTTTTTTCCACCTTCTTCCCTCGTGTAAAATGTCGCAGTGCCTTAGCGTTTATCGAAGGCCTTGTTGACGTGCACCTTTCCCCCTTATTAGAAGCCGATTCTGACCATTTTTGTGTTCGGGTTTGGATTTTCATGGTGCGTCAAAGGTTAAAGTTGCTTCCCTCGTAGTCCCCGACATAACCTAAGAGTATTGTAAGATTCGGAGCACTATTCTTTCAGTGGGGATTTGAGATTTCATCTCAAATTGAGGCAGGGGATGTTTTAGGTTTAAATATGTGTTGTATTGATAGTTTTATAAGCATATAAAACTTGTAAGCATGCCTTTGTATTAATTCTAGAATTTAATTTAATTTAATTATTTTCTATGTTTAAGATTTAATTCTTATGGTTGTATACAACTTGGAATTAAATTGTAGCATGCTATTAAATTAAGCGTTGATATGCTTGTTAACATATATTAAATTGGGAGGATTTGAATAAGTATTGCAACTTTTAATTAATCTTTCACTTGAATGAAAATTTAATTCACATGGTTCTAACTAGCATAGAATCAACTTGTAATGTGATATTAAATTAGGCTTTAGTATGTTCTTTAACATATGTGAATTTGAGGATATTTGGAATTGTTTTAAAATCTAGAAAAAATTAATTAATTAGATTAATTAATATTACTCTAAGTGTTCTAATCACTTAATTGGATTTTTGATTTGGCATTATTGATGAGCTTGGCATATTCTATCATATATATTAAATTGAGAATATTTGAATAATTTTTGAGAAATTTATTTAATTATTTTTTTGGCATTGATCTTAATTTACCTTGTTGTAACTAAGGTAGAATTGATTTGTAACTTGAAATTAAATTAGGCCTTGCTATGACCTTTGACATGTATTATATTTAGGATTCTTGGAGTTGCTTTGTAATCTTGAGAATTTAATTATTCAATTTAATTAAATTTCATTTGTATGCTTTCATTGAGGTAATTAAGTATTGATGTTATATTCTTGCTTAATTTCTAATTTGCAACTTGGTGTATGATTACAAGATGGTATTCCATGAGTAGAAGTTATGATTTAACTTGTTGTATACACATTATACTTGTATGACATTTAATATGCCATTGTACCTTGAAGGCCTAGAGCATATCTTGTGTGTATTCCATGACTTGGTTATGCATGGTAATTAACAACGTGCATTGAGTATATGTGATATACTTGTTGCACAACTTGATGATTTTTGGAAAGCTTGTATGGACATTATAATATGTTAAGGCTAGAGTATGTCTCTAGTACGGGGGATGAGAGTTCCCTCTACAACATATAGTGCGCACTAGGTAGTTCCTTGCGGGCTAGTAACCCAAGATCACTTGTTTGGTCATTGAGACTATATGTCCTTTGTCTTTTCGCTATTGGTTGATTTCGCATTCAATTCCTATTTGTAATTGTGGATTACTTTTAACTTGTGCTTGGATGCATGGTACTTCATTTCTTGCTTAGTATACTTGGATTTGTATACTTGTACGCCTTATATATCAAAAATGCTTAGCGTACTTGGATTTGTATACTTGTATGCCATGCATGTCAACATTGCTTAGTATACTTAGAAATGTATACTGGAATTTATATGTTGCATTTCCATTTCAATATTGCTTAGTGTACTTAATGTGTACCCTTGTATATTGATGATTTACTTTCTAGATAACCTAGTATACTTATATCTTCTATACTTGTCTTAAGTGCATTTCAATCTTGATTGTATACTTACGTACGTATACTTGTATATCGAATGACTTGTTGCGTGTACCGCATGCTCCTATGTTGTTTAAGTTGCATGAATGGTGTGGTTTATGCTGGGACTACTCTAGGTAGCTTACGATGCTACCTAAGTCTCACCTTTGACATAGAGGCTAGGTGGCATGACCGTATTGAATGGATTTATATCAACTTAATAAGTTTGTAAAATGCTAGGTCCTTGTATGCTCATCTCGTACGAGTAGCTTTATGTTACTCACCCATGTAGTGGGGACATTTTTTAGGTATAGGAATCAAGATTCAAGATTCACATTATGCTTGGGTTGATTTGTAGATTTGAAGTTCATGATTGATGCAAATGTTAGCATGGAATGATATTGTAGCTTTATATGTCAAAAGTTGTATATTTGATTCCATATTTGTAACGTATACATAAGTACACCTTTTACGATGTATTTGACATGTATGAGATGAGGCCGGAGCCTAATGACATGTATCTTGTATCCTATGTAAATTTTAACTTCATGAAATATTATGAAAATATTGAAAAATGCCAAGTCATTGCTTCACCACGATTGCATCGGGTGTGGGAATTCCATTTTTATTCTTTCATAGGGTCTCATTAATAATGTATGAAGTATGGCCAAGGGCCAAACAGTAATTTGAGATCATTTGTTAATTTTGGTTTTCAAAATTTCTATTTCTAGTTCATTTTAGTCATTTTTGGCCGTCGGGGGGTCATATTTTGCATCGGTGGTATTTTTACACTGTGGATCATTGTAGCGCATCCTAATAAGTAAGTTACGTGTGCGTGCATGATCGTTTTTCGAGAAAAACCCTTTCCTTTATGATTTGAGC